AAGCTACTCCCAACTACAGAGGTTACTTTATTATACTTCAAATACAACTGGGTTAATATTTCTCAGTCTAGATACATTTTATATACAGTAATAAAACTATTAAGTCCAAGGTTCAAAAGGTTTTATAAAGGGTCCAATATCTAGTCACCATCGGCTCTCAGGAACAAATGCTAGTCTAGCTTCCTTCTTATTCTTGGCAGCTCCCAGTTGATTTATTGTTGGTCTTTAGATGCATTTTAAATATCACTAAAAAAAAATTTAACTCATGGAAATTTTATCTAGTTTGGTTATTTAAAATTATCACTTACATGTGTAAGATAGATGTGGAATCTTAAGATTTCTAATAAGAAGTAGCACAGTCTTAAGATACATGGTCTGCTCCATGAGCAGAGTTAATAAGAAGATGCCAGTAAAATCAGAAATAGTCTTATCTACCCTCCAGAAACACAAAGGACTTTTTTTCCCCTCCCCAGAAGATAGGCATCATAGAAAAGAGAAAGGCAATCTTCTTGATAGTCACTCATCCATTTAAAATGTATCTACTGAGGTACTATTTCCTGCAAGATATCCTTCCAGGCACTGGGGATACATCAATGAGTAAAACAGACAAAAATCCCTACCAAGAGGGAGGTTATATTCCAGTGAGAGGCAAAAAAACCACTCCAGCATACCTCCCATACCTCTGCTGCATTCCAACTGACTGCTGTAAAGAAAAATCATAATGCCCTACGATGCTGATATCTTGCTAAGAGTTTTATTATTATTTTGTTACAAGTGGGGCCTCTTACAGTAGAAAACCAGAAACATAGCAAAATGTCATTATGTTCTATCTTGCTAAGCAATTTAACCAAATAGATCAATTCCACTGTCTATACATGGCTTCATAGGCACTTAAAGCAGATAGGGTCATACAGAACAAATCCCTCAGGATCCCTGGAGACCACCCAGTGTATCTCTACTTCATAAGAGGAGGTAAGGCTGGGCGCGGTGACTCAAGCCTGTAATCCCAGCACTTTGGGAGGCCGAGGCGGGTGGATCACGAGGTCAAGAGATGGAGACCATCCTGGCCAACATGGTGAAACCTCGTCTCTACTAAAAATACAAAAATTAGCCGGGTGTGGTGGCATGCACCTGTAGTCCCAGCTACTCGGGAGGCTGAGGCAGGAGAATGCTGGAACACAGGAGGCAGAGGTTGCAGTGAGCCAAGATTGCACCACTGCATTTCAGCCTGATGACAGAGTGAGACTCTGTCTCACCCAAAAAAAAAAACAAAGGAGGTTATGCTCTAAGCACCTTCTTACAACAAAGGGAAAAATTCCAACCCTGAGAAAATGTAGACCATTAACTTATTTACATAGTTTTGTAGAAATAATAAAGTGAAAAATAAATTATCAATAAGATCAGTGGAATGGGAAGAAAGTGGCCACACAGCTGTGTCCTCATCAAGATGTTTCCCTGTCATCAAAAATACAACCCAAGAGCAAGATGGAGTGAATGTGGATAATGGGGGAGGCCAAAGATCTCACGTCTAATTTTCTTGTTAACTACTCTGCAGTAAGACTGCTGAGCTAGATTCCTACCTTCTTTTGGGTTCTGCTTAAACTGTGCAGAAAGCGAAGAAAGAAAGATGACATCTCTGTCCCGGTCCTTCCAAGAGACACGAAAGATCTTACAGACCAGCTGTAAGGCCTGCTCTTCAGATACTTCAGGGCCTGAGGAAGGCTCCTGGTGAAGAAGAAGACTTACAGGTTAATTTCAAATAAGAGGTATGAGTTAGGTACTTCAATAGAAATACGTTATTCTGATTTAATTCATTATTAGTGATGGTATTCTTAAAATGCATGAAACCTTTCACCCACTGATTAGGGGGAAAGTAGGCCTGTTACTATGACATCAAAATTATAACATCTAAGTCTCATGAGCTTACAGTACAATCTATGGAGAGCATAAAAGAGCAAAGGTGGCCAGGTGTAGTGGCTCACAAGTGTAATCCCAGCACTTTGGGAGGCCAATGCGGGTGGATCACCTGAGGTCAGGAGTTCAGGCCCTGACCAACATGGTGAAACCTGGTCTCTAATAAAAATAAAAAAAACTAGCCAGGCGTGGTGGCAAGCGCCTGTAATCCCAGCTACTTGGGAGGCTGAGGCAGGGGCATCACTTGAACCCAGGAGGCAGAGGTTGCAGTGAGCCGAGATCATGCCACTGCACTCTAGCCTGGGTAACAGAGTGAGAACCTGTCTCAAAAAAAAAAAAAAAAAAAAAAAAAAAAAAAAAAAAAAAACAATAAAAAAAAAAAAAAAAAAAAAAAAGAGCAAAGCCATTATCAAAAGTCACCAAGAAAAAAAATGTGAAAGAAGATGTATATATCCTATTTATTTACTTTTCTGAATTCCACAGGACCAGGTTAACATTCTAGGTTGCATAATCAATTCTCCTCCAGAAATTTTTCAAAAATGGAACATTTCTCATTACACGTCATCACAGATAAAATGTCATATATAATTTCGTAAACATTAAAGAACTATACAAAATAAAGCACTGCACCACTATGAGGCTACAGTGCTCCTTTTTTTTCTTTTTTTGTCTTTTTTATTTTTATTTTTGTTTACAATGCAACTTCTAATAATCATTAACATGTGTTGCTAAAGGATTCCTAATAATTTACTGAAAAGAAAATGACATAATTATCTATCTATATAAACATAAACACACACACACACACACACACACACACACACACACACACACACACACCCTAAATACAGAGCACTAAGCTCAGGTGGTAATCAAACATAAAGGCTTCATGTTTTCAAAAACTTTCCACTTGCTACTGGATTTTTTACATATTCTTGCTTCATTCTCAGTCATTTCTCTCAGAATACTGCTAAAGATGTGATGACCTACTTGTTTAAAAGCAAAAGATCAGCAGAGAGAACTCTAATTACCTCTAAATTCGTTCCTATTACAAACTAAATTTACTGATAAAACCATTGCCCTGAACCAGAAACAGATGGATAACATCAGATCAAGGGAGTGAGTTACATTTCCATGAATAAGAGCAATCTAGGTTATTCATTTTTCCTCAAAAGAATAAAAATAATCACCTGCCTAGGACTTCCTGATTTGGAGTGGCCCCACACTAATAGACACAAGACATGAAACGGTTTTTTTTATATTACCTGTACCAACGGCTTCATCGCTTACCAACCTTATCAGTGAGGCTCCGTTTTTCTCTTCGATCATTTTCATCAACCTCCATGTTTTCAATTCCTGAATCCACATCTACCTGGGACATGCTTAAAGTACAAAAGACAAGCCTTTTACCTTTTATAAATCCGTACAATGTCACTGTAGCTGCTGGTTGAGGAAAAGTTTTAAAATATCAATTAAATTAAAAAATATATATATATCAATTAAATCAATCATGAAAGCAAAACGATGATGGTCCATCTTTTTTCTTATTAATTTTTAAGAGTTCTTCATAAATTAGGATCTAAACATTCTGTCTCTCATACATATTGAAAATATTTTTCCTAAGTTGTTATTTTCTTGGGCTCACTTTTAAAAAGTATATCATTAAAGTAGGTTCTTTATTATTTTTAAACAACATAAAACTAACCAGGCCAGGTACAGTGGCATGTGCCTATAGTCAAGCTACTTAAGGAGGCTGAAGCTGGAGGATCACTTTAGCCCAGAAGTTTGAGGCTGTAGGCACTATTATTGTGCCCGTGAATAACCACAGTATTCCAGTCTAGGCAGCACAGCAAGACTCCGTCTCTTAAAAAAATTTAATAAAAATTTTTAAAAATGTAATTAAGAAAATTAAAAACTCAACTGAAGCCTTATTACAAAAACTGATTAAGTACATATTATTTCCCCTGATTAAACAATTGCTCTAGCACCATTTATTGGAAAGATCATCCTTTTTACATTAATGTGAAATCTCTGTCACATGTCCAATTTTCATTAATGAGAAACAACTAATTTCTGTTCTGTTAGACAATGTGTCTGTTCCTGACCAATACCCCTCTGTCTGAATTACTAAAACTTCAAAGTCTTGATATCTGCTAGGTCAATGTCTCCACCTTATACTTCTACTTTAAGGGGTCTTAGCCATCCTTTGCTCTTTCCTCTTCTACATATACTTAAGAGTCAGCCTGAGGAATTCCTTTAAAACCCTCCCGGGATTTTGACCAGAATTTCTTTGACTCTTAGAGATCAAATTAGGGAGAAGTAATATAATTATCTTACTGAGGTTTTCATTACTCTCCAAGTATTAAGACCTTCTTTAAGGACTATCAGTAAACTTTAACACTTTTCTCCAAAAAATTTTACATTTCTTTTGCTAAATTTATTCCAAGGTACCATATGTTAATACTTTTTAATGAAATTGTGAATGGTACCTTTTTTAAAATTAAGTTTTCTAATTTTTTGTTGTTGGCAGGCAGGAATGTAACATTTTAAATATACACTTCTTATAAGCAACTTATTTATTTATACATAGAAAGTTTACCATGTAAATAATCTTTTTTTTTTTTTTGAGACAGAGTCTTGCTCTGTCACCCAGGCTGGAGTGCAGTGGTGTGATCTCAGCTCACTGCAACCTCCACCTCCCAGGTTCAAGCAATTCTCCTGCCTCAGCCTCCCGAGTAGCTGGGATTACAGGCATGTGCCACCATGCCCAGCTAATTTTTTTTTGTATTTTTAGTAGACACAGGATTTTACCATGTTGACCAGGCTGGTCTCGAACTCCTGACCTTGTGATCTGCCCACCTCAGCCTCCCAAAGTGCTGGGATTACAGGCATGACCCATTGTACCTGGCCACCATGTAAATAATTTATCTGCAAATTATAACTGCTGTTTCTTCCATTCCAATCCTTACTTGTTTTACTGTACTGCTGAATACAAGAAGAAATAGCAGTCATCCTTGTTCTTATTGCTGATTTTACAGAAAATGATGCTAACTTCTCACCACTGAATATGAGAGCTACTGTAGTTTTTTGGTAGATGCCCTTTATATTAGAGTAAGACAGGCTATACTGTCATAACACATACCCTCTGAAATCTTAGAGGCTTAACACTGTAAGGATTTAGTTCTTGCTTACACAAAGTCTGATGAGAGTGAAGCATCCTTACTCCATCTTTAATCTATGCCATCTGCAATACACAGCCTCCAAGGTCACTGGAGCAAGAGAAGAGAGGGATGGAGGAGGAAGGTCGGCTCAACTGCCTTCATCTAAAAGTGACACATGTCACTCTAGTTCATAGTCTACTGGACAGAACTAGTCACTTGGCCCCAATCTAACTAACTGTAAAAGAGAATGGGAAGCGCTGGGGAGCATGTGGAATATTTGGTGAACTTTGTCTGTGCCACACTGTGAGTTTAAGGATACTCCTTTCTGTTTGTTTGCTTACTATCATGAATTAACGTGGAATTTTATCAAACTCTTGCCACTACCAACATTATAAGGATTTTCTTTTTAACATACAATATGGTAGATAATATTTCTAGATTTTCTAATGTCAGTGCATCCTTACATTCTTAAAATCAATTTATCATATTATATTGTATTATTTTAAAGCAAACTTTTAATTGAAATATAAGACACCTGTAATCCCAGCACTTTGGGAGGCTGAGGCAGTAGATCATACGAGGCAAGGAGTTCGAGACCAGCCTGGCCAATACGGTGAAACTCCATCTCTACTAAAAATACAAAAATGCACTGCAGGCCAGCCTGGGTGACAGAGCAAGACTCTGTCTCAAAAAAATAAAAAAAATATGTGTACAGAAATGTGCACAGATATGTTTGACCAAATATACTTCCACAAAGTAAACATACCAATGTATTCAGCACCCAGATCAGGAAACAGAACATTACCAGTATTCCAAAAGCCCTGTTGTGATTCTCCCGATCCCTGCTGTTCTAGCTCACAGTAATTATTGCCGTGGCATCTAACCCCATAGAATAGTTTTGCCTGGTTTTTTTTTGTTGTTGTTATGTATTGCGGTATTTAATTTGTCAGCAGTTTAAGATTTTTGCAAATATATTCATGAGTATGAATATCATATACTTTTCTCCTTTTACATTATTCTTGCATGGTTTTAATATTAGTGTCACATTAGCCTCATAAATTGAGTTGAAGTGTACATTTTTTTTTTTTTTTTTTTTTTTTTTTTTTTTTTTTTT